TTTATAAGCATTAAAAAGTGTCTGTACTGGGACTCCACTGTCTTTTTTCCAGAATATTCTCCCTCTACCTCAGAAAAATGCCATTATAAATGCTTGACTCTCAGGAGCTGCCAGCGGAAGGGGAGGAAGCACTCCTGTGCAATTTCCCTCTGAGGGAAGAGGAAGTCAATCTTGCCCTCAGTCATACCAAGCACAAGGACAGTGAAGTTTTAACTCTGTACCTAATGTAAAGATTTACCCTTTATTTGCCAGTGTTTGAAGCATCTGTCTGTTACAGTTTCCAATGTGCTGTCTGCTGTTTCTTCAATTTAGCATATAATCTGTCGTCCTTCAGACTGCAAACTCCAGTAAGCGACGCACAACATGGCTGCTCTAGCTGGGTAGTTTGAAAGCCAGAGGCACACGGGCATCAGAGGCTATTTGATAACGACAAGTGGATTATACTAACCCTATGACAGGCTACTTAACTTTATTCTAACACAACAATGGGGATTAGCACTAACTAGGCCGTTTGGCCTTAGGTATTCAGGATGTGCGGGGAAGTTCATTTAACTGGCTCAAAAGAACACAAAAGAAAACATCTGATAACCCATGATCTTCACCTCTCTGTCTAGTTTACTAAATTGTCAGAGACATTAAAGAAACAAAAAAAAAAAGAAAAAAACCTTAAGTTAAAGCTTCAGACGTGAACAAGACAAGTCAGTCACTGGGCACGACCTGGCTTTTAAACTGTGCTGTGTAAACATGCTGGCCATAAACTCAAGATAATCAAGAACTCGATTCTACTTCTGGCTTGAGCACCTAGAGAAATCATCTCTTTTTGTCCTAATTTATCCTTCTGTGACACAGGGCTATTCAAATATACATCTGAAGACCAACAATTAGAGAATCCACCAAAATTGCAAAGACCTCAATGCAATTTTAAACTTTAAATAGGACATAAACTTCACAAATGCCCAAAATCATATGGTGTTCCTGACTACTTCTCCCAAACATGTAAATTCAATCTATTTTGATTCCTACTCTGTTTTCCTAGCAACCTCTTTCCTCAAAGCTATGAAAAGGGCTTTTTGTTGAGATTCTAAACAAAACACACTTAAGAAAGAGTTCTGATTGTGATGATGCTCTTTTTCAGATGGAACACCAGAAAGCAGGATGATCTGAAAATGCCCTGTGATATAAGCTACTTATACTGGACAATAAATACAGTATGTGAAAACTGAAGGAATAAAAGAACAGTTAAAAAAAAACAAAAAAAAACAGGAGAAGTGACAAGGAAGGACACTAGAGTGAAAAGAATAACATCAAGGGCAAAACAATTCAGAGAAGTGCAGAAAAGCGTGGAAGTCCATCGTGGAAACAGAAAAGAAAGTTCGAGGCTTCCACAAACTTTAACACAAAAAAACAAAAATATAAAAAGTTACATCCTACTTTTATTTAGGCTTGTCTCAATGTATGCTACAAACTGCCCAAAAAAGTCTACCTGAATTTTCAGGGAACCTTTCGTTCTCAAGATCTACAATACGTCCTGTTTTTAAATGCACTACAGAATACCAATTCACGGCAGGAATACTTGACTCGTAGAATCTAAGACTCTTGCCTTAACTTCCCTAAATATACTCAAGTACAAAGTGGGCTTCCCAGGGCAGCTAACTGCCTATGTAAGAAAAACCTTTCTCAAAAGCACTCACCAGTTCTTATCTGGTAAAATCTGGGTAAAATGAAAAAATAGGGTCATTAGTTTGTAGGGCAAGAAAGGGAAACTGTCCCCAGAGGGTTCTCAGGAGGGCCACACAGAGCCTAAGAGTAGGTCGGGTGAGGACAGCAGGAGGCAAGATGTGCTCGGGCACCCTGTGTTGATCTGGTGGCACTGGTCGACCTGTCCCCATCCTCCTGGGTCTTTGCAGACATCTGCTGCTCCACCTCTCTTCCCCTCAGGGATTTCTCTCCCCCTAGTAACCCCAATGAGGGGCACTGCTGATGGGGGTTCTCATCAAGTGGATGTTCAACAAAGATCCCCAAACTCTCCAAAATACATCTACCTCCTAACCTTGCAGAAAATTCTAATGAGGTCAAGGAAAAGGAAAAAAAAAAGTCCTTGGCACAATCCTGTGTTCTTCATTATACACCAATGGGAAGTCAGAACACTTTACTGAAAACGTTCCCACAAAGTGGGAATCAATTTCCCTAATATGGCTAGGCCCTAAATATAGCCACAATTTTTTTTTGTTCAAAATATACCCAGTTAAACTTGTGGGTGGAGAAAATGGTGGTGGGTGAGTGGGCAGGGTGCACAGGAAACAATGACAGTGTAACTCCACGACGTCCACCAGCATTAGAACGGCTCTAAGTGTCCTTGTCAAGGGCTGCCGAAGTATCAACACCTGTGACATACGCTCCTTTCTCAGCAGGCTTTGTTCCCTTGATCCCGCCTGGGTTACTGCGAGGGAAGAGAAGAAATTACATACCCTGGGTCTGAAGTAATTCTACCATTCTGCAAAGGAACACAGCATCACTAGTCCTCAAAGCAGTGAAAGGCATACAATCCCCTACTCAAATTTAAAGATTCAGTTAGCCCAAGAGAAACCTGAGAGTGATCTAGGGTAGCTTAAAGGCCTCACAATTTGCCTTCCAAACAACACCTTTTATGCACAGTGTGCCACACACCAAAAAACAGTATTAGTGTTTAATTTTCACATAACTACGCTGAGGAACTGTGTGTGTTTTAAATAAATGGAATTCAGGAAAAGCAAAATCTAGAATGTAAAATTTAATCCAAAATTTATTTCAAAGTTTCGCCTGAAACTTTTAAAGGGTTTATTATACTAGGTCTAGACTTGTTTCACCTCATATATATGCAAAAGCTGGGCAATGAATAAGGGAGACGGAAGAGGAATTAACACCTTCGAATTATGGTGTTGGCCAAGAATATTGAATATACCGCGGACTGCAAGAACGAACAAATCTGTCTTGGGAGAAGTACAGCCAGAATGCTCCTCAGAAGGGAGGATGGTGAGACTTTGTCTCCCATACTTTGGACACGTTATCAGGAGGGACCAGTCCCTGGAGGAGGACATCATGCTTGGTAAAGTAACGGGTCAGTGAAGAAGAGGAAGACCCTCAACGAGATGGAATGACACAGTGGCTGCAACAATGGGCTCAAACATAGCAATGACTGTGAGGACCCTGCAGTGTTTCCTTCTGTTGTACACAGGGCCCCTATGAGTCAGAACCAACTCGACAGCACCTAACAACAGACTTGTTTAACAATGAACCATTTTTGCAAGATATTCTGGCCAAAAGGCAACTGGGTAGCGGCCTGTCACTTTGGGAGTAGATGTTCAATAAAAATCAGCCCCCTTCTGCAAAAAACTTTAAAGGTAAATAAATGAACTTCTAAACACAAGCGTGTTGAAATGCAATCTAGGACATCATAAAGCTAAATTTTAAAATTTAACCCTTGAAAGCAGAAAAGCTTACTGGATTGGGTAAGCTGCTTAAATTTTCCCAGACGTAAGTTTCCCATCTGTAAAATGGGAATAATAATACACAGGGTTGTTAGAAACGTAAATGAGAAAAATCAATATAAAGCACTGAAAACAGTAAACGCTCAACATAAACGAAGACGTGTTCACAAGGGCCTGAAGTTGGATCTATTTAAATCTAATGCATCACTTCTGTTAAACTGAAATCTCAGCCATTTCATAAAAGCATTTTACTCCCCCTTTCCCTACATCATGCGGCATCAACCTTCCAAATGATGCCAAAATTACATACTTTCATTCATCCGCTTGAGAGCTTGTCATATATGGCAAGAAAGAAGGAAGACGCCTTTTTCGTGGCTGTTGCGCCTTCACAACTTCAAAATACTGTCACGTACACAATAGGTTGGAGCTGCCCTCAAAATGACAGCTCACAGCTTTGCAGCGCCCGCAGAGGTGCCCAGGAGGCTCTGCTGGGAAGGGGTTCGCCCCAAATTGACGGCGAACCTCCATCTCCCGAGCCAAGCGCACACCCGGGAGCCCCAAGGAAAGAAAACTCTTTCAAAGGGGAAGGGAGATTGGAGTTGTGGAGAAAGACGGTGGGGGGAGGAAGGAAGGAAGGAAGGACCCTCGCGGTCACACAGGGTGCCGAGCCACACTCGGAACGCTCGCTATCAGGCGCGTCCACGCTGACCAGCCCCGGGACAGGGCGCCGGCGATAGGCAGCGATGTCCCGGGCCACCCGCTCCCCTTCGCCTCCCCTTCCCCGGCGGCCACCCAAGCCAACTGCGGTCCCGCGCCAGCCTCGGGCCTCGACGCCCCCTCACCTAAAGGCGGGTCCTTCCTTGGGCGCCCTGCCCTGGGCCGACGCGGACGCGGAGCTGCCGCCGCTGCCGCTGCCCCTTTTGTTGAAGAGCTTCTGGAGCAGGGTCGGGGCCATGATGCCGCCGCCGCCGCTGCA